ATAACGCGTACGGTAACGATTTCAATGTGTTTGGTAACTCGTTTAACGCGTTTGGTAACCCGCTTAACACGTTTGGTAACTCACGTATGGTAACTATACACTAACAGCCCACCACGCGAATAGTAACTACATGTAACTCCCGCCGAAATGACCCTGCAACTACATGTAATTCTGACACAGTTTTCCGAAATTCTGACACACTTTCCGAAATCCTGACACACTTTCTGATTTTCAAGAAAATTGCAAAAAGGTAAGTGTTGTGAAAACAACTTTTCATACATAACTGATATTCTGGCGCTCTTTCCGCAAACTGTTTGTACTTCATTCTAACGTGCAGCCGGGGCAAACAAATCTATGCCCCTTCAGATGGCAAATGAATTTGAGAGCATCAACCCTAAACTCCATACGACAAGCCGTTTATGGTTATTTCTTTTAAAATGAAACATGTATTTCAAAAGAGGTGTATTTTTCCCACATGCAAAAATTCTCCAACATTGCAGCAATTACAAAAAGTAAAAGCCTCGAGGTCCTTTCGGGGAATGATTTTTTTTTAAATCGGTTTTCAAGTTCGCAATCATGCTATCAAAAATATGATTTTTTTAACGAACTACATAAATATATATATACATATAACGGCTTTGAAACTTTTCGGTCCGTGGTAATAGAACAAACGGGGTCCTTCAAAGTTGCGGCGGGACCTGTTCAAAAAGATAAAACTGTACGTAAAAGCTAGCAAACTCGATAAATTCCTATTTGCCAGAATCATTTCGGCGGGAGTTTTATGTAGTTACCATTCGCGTGATGGGCTGCTAGTGTATAGTTACCATACGCGTTAAGCGAGTTACCAAACGTGTTAAGCGAGTTACCAAACGCGTTAAGCGAGTTACCAAACGCGTTGAAATCGTTACCGTACGCGTTATAGTGCCCCATGTAAGTTACCATTGACATATTTTCCCTTGTAAAAACATGCTTCAGATTCAGTTTCCTTACTGATTCGAATTCTCATGGGGAGTACAATTTCCGAGACGATCTGATTGGTCGAAATTTGCTGTTCTGTGATTGGTCGAAATTCGCGAACTTTGCGAATTTCAGAGACAAGTACTTTCAGTCGACCAGAATCGCTCTGCTCGACGATGCCCTTTTCGAGCTTAATTTTGTAGACCAGCGTTTCGTCGTAACGCCGTTTTCTCCAATTTCGTCGACCCGCAAGGCTCGACTTCGATGCTGATTTACTCCCGTCAATAAGTGCCTCGTCGACGGGCAATTGCGTAGAGCATAAACAACACTTCAGTTTTGACGGGTTAATCTCGCCGAAAATCGACTGTCGCACAGAGATCCCAGATAAAAGTCCCTGAAGTCGCCGATGACCACGAAACGAACACCGTTGTGCTCCGAAAAGCATGGCCGACTTCGCCCAAGCGAGGGCGGGGCCTTTTCTCCTCGACACTCCCCTGCCCAGCTCGAGCTTGGGCCCCCACACACAAGGTCCACCAAGAACCTACTTAATAGAATACAATGGGATATTTCTCCGGCGTGCATACTCCCGCACGCCGATCACCGCACCAGCCATGTTAGAGGACATGACACCTATTGCTGCACGTTGTCATAGTCGTCGCCGCGTGCCATTTGTTGGGTATGGCAGGGACCCGTCGAAGAAGCCAAGAATTTGCGCGCCTTCCATCATTAGCTCGAACTCAAACGACCAGGTTAAAAAGTCTTTCCCGTCGAACGGTCTTGATGTTTGCAACTTCAAAACGTGTGCGAACTGCGATTGAGCTTGAAGTGCATCAAAGTTCTTCTCTTGTCCAGGTGAAGGTTGCTGATACGGCATGAAGCTGATGGAGCCGCGCTGGGGCTCGTATGGAGCAAAGGTAGGCTGCTGTTGCTGATTTCCGCGCGCGTACGATGAGCCGTCGAGACTCATGGGTGTCACGTCGTTGTTGTTGTTGCTGTTGTTTGATTGCGCAGGTGCCGATTGCTGGTGTTGCTCGTAGAAGGACATGAAGGAGAAAAATTTCTCCATCATGCTTGGGTCGAAGCCTGCAGGTTGATTCGCAGGAGTCTCAGTGGACCTTGCTGCTGGTCTTGTTGCCGTGCCCTCCTCTGTCTGTAGACCAGAGGCAGGAAGTGGAGTAGGTGTAGTGCCGGGAGAGCCATTGGAGGAGCTTCTCTCCTTCTGAGTAGCCATGCCTTCTGATGTTGTAGGTTTCTTGATAGTGGAATTTGTCCTGACTGCTCTCATACCATGTTGGGCTGAGAAAAAGCCCTTAGGATCTTTTACAGGACTAAACTCCTGGTAGGAATGATGTAATAGCGGAAGCGTTTAATGAAGATTGTTGAACCACCTTGCGCTGGTATGTGAGGGCAAAGTAGATTGATTAAAGCAAGGAGATACAAGGCCTTTTATAAGATTACAGAGAATACAGGGAGATATGACTAATAACCGTTTTACTGTTGCTGTTGCGGTTCGATATAGTGACGACTCGGGCAGCTGTTCAATAACGAATCAGCTGTTTGTCCTTGTTGTCGCACTGTACTTTGTCGAGTCAAAGGTCGCGTGACCTTTGACCTTCGCGTAACCTCCAGCGGTTACCATTTCTTGTCAACCTCCGATGGTTGACTCGCCGTTGCTGCGCTGTTGCTTGCTCCGTTTGTGTTTACTGTTTCGACACGACAGAGGCGCTTAAATCATTGTTTCCAACAACTTACCCAGGTGCTGGCACTACCTGCTGGAGTCCTAACCACTCTGCGTCCCGCTGCTACCGTCGCCTCGACGACCTCCACCGTGAGCGTTTTGGTGCTCACGCCATTACACCACACTGGCCCTCGCGTCTTCGCCAGTGCACTGCTGCAGCAGTTGAGTCTCACCTACCTGGTCTAGGATCTTTCCTGGCTGCACAAGTAGAGACCTGTGTTTCAAGTCTAAGTACGTGTGTAGTTTCAAGTCCAGGCGCCTCTGAGGGTATTTGTGTAGGAGCTGCAGCTACCACTAGTCTAGCACCAGCCTTTGTCGCTAGCTCGGGTGCGACCTCACAGACTGCACAGCTTTCCTTCACCCTAGACTCTGGAGCGTCCAGCTGTTTCTTTCGCAACTATACTGACCTCACGCCACTGCGCACTCCAGTCAATGTCGCCTTGGCTGACCCCTCCGTGGGACGTGTAGTTGCCCACAGCTCCACCACTCTCCCGTGTCTGGCGGCTCCCTCTAGGTTTCTCACAGGTTACTACACCCCCTCGTTCTCCAGGAACTTGGTGGGTGTCAGTCACCTCCACGACCTAGGTGTAGTCACTACTTTCCCTCTGGACGAGCCTGTTGCCTCCTGCACAGTCGGTGCTACCGGGGCGCCACTGGCCACTTTCCACAGGGAGCCGGGCTCTAAAATGTACTCACTATACATTGGGTCCCACCACACAGGTCAGGTCAGGTCAGGTCAGGTCAGGTCAGGTCAGGTAGCTGCTGTGTCGTGCGACTGTCAGTCACTCACCCACCCATCGGTCCTTTGGCACCACCGTCTAGGTCAGCCGTCGTTCCCACGTCTCAGTAGGATGGTACGTCACCGTCTAGTCTCAGTTCTCCTAGAGTCGCTTGCCCCGCTTCCTCGCTTGCCTGCGCCACCGTGCACACCTTGAGTCGAGGGCCGGCTGTCAGAATCCCAGTCACTAACCACTGGGATAAAAGGGCTTGTTTGTGTAGCGGGTGAGTGCGCCCATAACCCCCCAGGCCAACGTGCCTGTAACCCTTCCCTAGGATCAATCGGGGATCACCAGTGGACCTCTGACACCCCCTCGCACTGGGATGCCCGAGGTGCACACACCGGGATTTGAACCCGAGACCTTCGCTCTGATACCATGTCAGAATCCCAGTCACTAACCACTGGGATAAAAGGGCTTGTTTGTGTAGCGGGTGAGTGCGCCCATAACCCCCCAGGCCAACGTGCCTGTAACCCTTCCCTAGGATCAATCGGGGATCACCAGTGGACCTCTGACATCGGCAGCGCGCTGCCCCTCACTCCTCCTCGTTCCCCCCCACCACCGCTCCTTTCCAAACCCTGCACTTGGACGTCTGGGGCCCCTCCCCGGTCCTTGGCCCACGGTAGGAGTGCTACTTTTTGATTGTGGTGGACGACTACTCCCGCTACACCACGGTTTTCCCCTTGCAACGGAAGGCCGACGTGCCTACCGTCCTCGAGCCATGGCTACTAGTGAGGGGTGGCGCCCAGGGCCTTTGTGGGCTCCGCCTACACTTGGACCGTGGTGATGCGTTTTCTTCCACTCGCCTGGAGACGTTTTGTCAGGGTCGTGGGATCATCCAGTCTTACACGCTACCAGACTCGCCGCAGCAGAACGGGGTAGCCGAGTAACGCATCGGCCTGGTCATGGAAATTGCCCGGACCTCCATGTGCCATGTCGGTGCCCCCCAGTTCTCAGGCAGTCCGCTACGCCGTACACTAGCTGAACCTGTGGCCTAGTGACGCACGGCCACGGGTGACGCCGATCTCTTTTTGGACAGGTTCTCCGGGAGTAGCAGCAGACTACGGCGTCTGGGGTTCTCTGGCTAACGCTCGCGCCCCTGGCGCGAACAAGTTGTCTCCTCGCACTCGCCCCTGCGTCTTTCTTGGGTTCCCTTTGGACGCCTTCGGCTGGTTGTTCTACGACCCGATCACCTACCAGTTCTTCGCTTCTCAGGACGTCACGTTTGACGAGTCTGTCTGTTACTACAGGAGTCACCTGTCAGAAACTAACGAGCAGGAATGAATGCACTGAAGCAGAACTAGGTACAAGTACTAACCCTAGAACTGGGTTGTACCCCTTATGGGCTACCCCACTACAGCCTACACAACATTAACATTTGATATCGCCCCCACCGAGGTACTGAGGTCTTTACCCCTTGAGCCCCCCCCCCCATCACCGCGGTAGCCCCCCCCCCCCCCCTTTGCGTCCTGCCCCATCAGGTGTGTCGCACGTCACTCCGCAGTCGTCTTCCCCGCAGCGTCCAGTCCATGTCGTGTCTGGGGGTGAGGGAGGTGCAGTTGCGGAGGGTGAGGGTACTGGGGCTGCCGGAGCTGGTGGTGTCGGCTCAAGGGGTGCGGGGGGTGTGGGCGTGGAGGTCACTCCCGTGGAGGACACAGCAGCCTCGAGCCAGCGGACTCACCCCGCGTTCCCCCCCTGGCTTCCCGTCCGTCCCGCAGTTCCCTCCTCGTTCGTCTCAGCTGCCGGTTGCTGCGGAGCCCGAGGGTGTTCCTTTGGGAGGTACTGGAAGCCCCGGGGGTGTTGGTGGTGGAGGTGCTGGTTCTGGGGTGGCTGGAGCTGGAGGCACTTGCACTGTGGCGCCTACACCGTGGACTGTACGTTTCCTGAACTGTGAGCAACGTCTCCTCCGGTTGGAGAGGGAGGAGCGTGAGCGTTTTAAGAGGGCACGACAGCAGCAGCAGCAGCAGCAGCAACAGCAGCCTCAGTCGCAGGGTTAGGAGAGGGTAGAGGAGGAGCCACAGCCACAGCAGGAGAGAGTAGAGGAGGAGTCACAGCCGCAGCAGGAGAGAGCACAGGAGGGGTCACGGCTGCAGCAGCAGGTGCAGTTGCACCCGCTGCAGGAGAGAGTAGAGGAGGAGTCACGAGTGCAGCAGCAGGTGCAGTTGCAGTCACAGCAGGAGAGAATAGAGGAGCCACGGCCGCAGCAGGAGAGGGTAGAGGAGGAGTCCCGCCCACAGCAACAACTGCAATTGCAAACACAGCAGGAGAACGTAGAGGAGGAGTCAAGGCCGCAGCAGGAGAGGGCAGAGGAGGAGCTACAGGAGCAGCAGTAGGGGCAGGTGCCGTCGCAGTATACGCCAGTGGAGGCGGAGCAACAGCGACTGCATAACTTGCCCGACCCTGCACCTGCACGCTAGGTTCATGGTCCCCTACCATCTCCTCCTATTCCCCCTGTAGAGTCCCTTTCCTCGTCCCCGTGGACTCGTCATTCTCCCCTCAGTCGCACTGTGTCTCCAGAGCCCCGTCGGCCCCGTTACTGTGCGGACTGTCCGTTTCACCTTGTTCTCCGCCCTCGTGTTCCACCTCCTCCTGTCCTTCCACAGCCTCCTGAGTCGTCCCTCACTGCGCTTCCCGACCCGTTGTCCGACTACCTACGTGCCTCTCGTCCTATCGTCTCTCGTGTTCTGTCCGCGTTGGTTACTCACCCGAGTGCCCCCCCGTTGTCTGTCTTGGCTCTTGTTACCACTGTTGCTAGCTTTGCCTCTTCGCACCGCCTTGACTACACCGCTCACCTGGTGAGTGGCACTGCTTGTTCTCCGTCCTCTGGGGGTGCTCCTGTCTTTCCCTTGGAGGTCCTCCAGGACAGGTAGTTCGAGCTTGGTTTTCTGGCGGTTGCTGTTCCTCATCTCTGCGCCATGCTGCTTGCCCCTGAGGGGGATCCAGACGCCCTTGACATCCCGATCCCTCGCACTCACGCCGAGGCGGTCTTTGGACCCTGGGCTTCGTACTGGATAGCAGCTGAGGAGGCAGAGATGGCATCTTATAGGTCCACAGGCACCTACATCGACGCCGTCCCACCACAACGTCGTCAGTGGCATGTGGCTCTACAAGGTGAAGCGACCGCCTGGATCACCACCGGTGTTCAAGGCGCGCTATGTGGCCAGATGCTTCAGTCAGCGAGAGGGAATAGACTTTTTCCAAACCTTCGCTCCCACTCTCAAGATGACCACTCTTCGGGTGTTGCTGCATATCGCAGCTCAGTGCGACTACGAGTTGCACTCCTTGGACTTCTCCACGGTGTTTCTTCAGGGGAGCCTGCACGAGCATATCTGGCTGCGTCGCCCGCCTGGCTTCACTGCGCTTTCCCTCCTGGGACCCAGTGGCAGCTGCGTCGACCAGTCTATGGCCTGCGCCAGGCTCCCCGTGAGTGGTACGACACACCTCGCACGACTCTTGCAGCGCTTGACTTCTTTCCGTCGTCTGCTGACCCGTCGCTGTTCGTCCGCCGTGGCTCGACCCCGTTCTTTGTTATGGTTTACGTTGACGACCTGGTCTTTGCCACTCCCGAACGACGCGCATTGGCCTCCGTGAAGGAGGAACTACAGAGGAGACACAATTGCACTAACCTTAGTGAGCTGCAGCACTACCTTGGCCTGCAGATCACTAGGGACAGGGCAGCTCGCACCATTACGCTGACGCAGTCGCATATGGTTGAGCAGATCCTCACGCAGTTCCGCTTCCCGTTCTCCAAGGTACATCTCACCCCTCTTGCTGTGGATCGGGGGCTCACGGCTCCACCTTCGGACGAGTCATTTGAGTCCAGCGGTCCATATCCTGAGTTGGTGGGTTGTCTCATGTACCTGATGACCTGAACTTGCCCAGACCTATCTTACCCTCTTAGCGTCCTGGCACGCTTTTCTGCGCCTAGGAGGCACCGACCTTCCCACTGGTACGCTGCTAAGAGGGTGGCGAAGTATGTGGCGAGTACATCAGGCATGGAACTTGTCCTTGGAGGGAAGCAGCTAGTTTCATTAACAGGTTACTCAGACTGGTCATGGGCCGACGATGCAGAGTTGCGACGGTCTACACAGGGTTACTGCTTCAGCCTTGGGACCGGAGCTGTTTCGTAGCGGTCGACTCGGGCGTCGTCAGTCTCTAGTTCCAGCTGTGAGGCAGAGGTGTACGCTGCGGCCATGGCCGCCCAGGAGCTTCGCTGGCTGTCTTTCCTCCTCACCGACCTTGGTGAGCGGCCTCGCTCTCCCCCAGTCTTGTTCGCCGACATCAGGTCTGCTATCCTGTTGTGCGAGGAGCCCCGACTGGTTGGGAAGGCGAAGCACATCTAGCTTCGTTACTTCCTTCTGCGCGAGTTGGAGCAGCGTGGCCAGGCCCGCATGGTACGTGTGGTCTCTGAGGCCAACACTGCAGATATCTTCACCAAGGCGTTGCCGCCTTGTAACCACCAGCATTTCTGCACCCAGCTAGGGCTTGTGTCTACAGGCCCTCACTTGCTTGCGTAGAGATGCTTTGCCTTGTACTCTTGCATCTCTCTATATTTTCTATATATATATCTGCTTGTGGACTGGCCTTGTGGCCCCTTGCTTCAGTAGCGATGCTTGTCTTGTACTCTTGCATCTTCTATATTTGCTATATCCTTGCATGGGGACTGGCCTTGTAGCCTCTTGCTTGTTCTTAGACTGTGTGGTGATCTTGAGATCCACCCCGAGATTTGTTGAATTCTTGTGAACTGGTCCTGTGACTGTTGCTTGTTCTTGCTGTCTGGTCTTGTGACCTTTGCTATGTGTTGCTTTCCACAGGTCTACCGTCACCTAGACTATGGGGGTGTGTCAAGCTATATTTGTTATAGCTTTTATTTGTTAGTCTAGGTGTACCTTCTCTTTCCTAGGGTTAGGGTTAGGTTTCCTATATCTTCCTTGTTTGTCCTTTCCTTAACATTCAATTATCGTGTTCACTTAGTTACCCCGTTGACCGCTCCGGGCGGTGACGACGATGACGGCGTCAAATACTGGTCATGCGATGGCCTCCCCGAGAAACTTCCGATACCTTCTTATCCTCCATGTAATCGAAAGGGACCTCACCTTTCTTCAGAGAACCGTGATGCCCGCCCCCCCTCTCCCAGGCACAAGCCCAACGAGCACAAGCGCTATGCCTATACTGCTGCCGAGAAGTTGATGTGGGTCGCGCGGCTGGATGTGGCGGTGTCGGTGCGCGCTTTGGCCCGCGACAGTGGCATCCACTGCAAGTGCCTTGCCAACTGGAAGTGTGCCGCGGATTTCCTCAAGGAAGCCCACTCTGCCAGGAAGCATGCACGGTCGCGGGAGGGCGTCGTGGTACTGGCCGATGGAGATCAAAGTGCACGAGAAGCTCCTCGAGTGGCGCCGCAAGGGATCCGCCGCTTCCGCCGGGCGGCTGCAGGAGTGGTCGCGAGAGTTTATGAAGATTCTCTACCCCGTCGTGAAGTGGAAAGGCAGCCAACGGTGGTCGAACCGGTTTCGGCGGCGGTGGAATCTCAGCGTGCGAATGAAGACAAAGGTTGCCCAGAAAACCGCTGCCCGTAAGAATCCCAGTGATTTTGTATGCCTTGTTTCTGCACTTGTTATTCACTAACCGTAACCGTATGCTCTCGCCCTCTGTACCACCGTTTCACAGATGTCGCGGAGCAGTGCAAGAAGTCCTGGCAATACGTCCATGACAAGCATCGGGAGCGCGGCATCGAGACGACGTGGATTATCAACGCCGACCAGACGCCGCTCTAGCTGGAGATGCCCGCCACTAATACCGTCGATCAAACTGGTGTTCGGTCGGTGCCCATCAGGAGCGCGGACCAGAAGGAGCGCGTGATCGTGATCGTGCACGGCGGACGGGGTGAAGCCGTGGTTTTTTTTCAAGCAGAAGACAGTGCCAAAAGGCGGTAAGACTTGATTCTTGTTTGTGTGCCTTTTTGTGGTCTAGTTTTTTTTAAGAGAAACCGATTGTCCGATGCTTGTTGTGCAGATTATGGCCATGGCGTACCACGAGAACGGGTGGATGGACGTGGAGGGCGTGATCCAATGGCTTGAGGAGTGCGTAAAGCCCTTCTTGAAGCCCGAGTTCGGGAGGCATGCGCGGAGCTCGATGCTCGTAATGGATTCCTACCGCGGTCACCACACTGAGGGGGTGAAGGAGAAGTTTCGCGAGCTCAACTGCGTGTCGGCGGTCATCCCGTCGGGCTGCACGGCGGAGGTACAACCCCTCAACATCTCCATCAACAAGAGCTTTTAGGCGAGCGTCCGCCAGCAATACCAGATTTGGTTTCAGGAGAAGGGCCAAGAACAGCTGACCAAAGCAGGTACGGTAGCCACGCGATTGAAGCCTGAGGTCAGCATGGTTTTTGCTACAGTGACTCGAGGGCTTTAATTGTGCTCATGAAAGGAAAAAAGATAACATTTCGGGAATGGAACAGGTGCGAAAGCGAAACAAGGCAGCGACGAGATTGTGCATTCATCACCACGAGTTTGGTGCTTGGAGGGGGTTAGAAAGCGAAGCCACTTGCGTAGATTGGTTCGAAAGTGCACGCGACTCGGAGGAGGTGGCATCGCAGCCAATCAAGCCCCTGAAAATACAACCCAGCAAGAAGATTGAAGTAGCACCAACACAGCAAACGGGGAGAGAACAAACACACGAAAGAGTGATGTGTTACGCTTGGTAAAGAATGGAAGTTGAGCGCGATGGCAACTGGTAGGTAAGGAGAGGGCACCACCTACACACTTGACGCGAACGCGTCAACCACGTGAGAGCTGAGGTGACAAGGGAGCACTGGTAGGTCCCTCGACTACCAACCATGCACGCACTTCGGCAGGGTGATACAACAAGAAAGCACGTCGCCGGAGCATATAATAGTACCGCGTCGCAGGAGAAGTCAGCATTCAAGCTGACAAGGCAACGTTCAACAAAAACGTTCGTAGTAGATGTGAGTGTCGTGGCCCGTTGGTGAAAATGAGAGAGGTCGCTCTTTGGCAAGCATACGCTCCCGCCAGCGAAGGAAGGACGGAATGGTATACTCTCTACACCGTCAGCCGAAAACATTGGTGGAACCAATGTAATTGCGAAGTATAAATTTAGTGGATAGCACCCAACTGATTCACCGCCCCTAAGCCTGGCGACTCACATCGAGAGTAATGGTTTACTAGCGAGAGGAACGCGCATGCTGGGAAAGGCGCTCGCCGGTTAGAGGGCGACGAACGTCACTACGAGCAAGGCAAATTCAGAATCTGTAAGAGGGTGGCAAAGGGATTAGTAAAGGTCATGGTAAAGCTTGCAGAGACACGACGAGCCCCAGATTCTGTAGCACACACAGCTGTCGGATTCACTGCTACACGAACCCAACCCAGA